TCCTTGCAACTGGCAATGGGATTCCCTACTGCTCAAGCAAGAGTTATAAGCGAGTTACTCCATGTCTTATGTGTGCAACACCCTGCACTTTGGGAAATTTAAAATACTGCACACCAAATGAACTGGCAGTGCCTTTTGAACTTTCCAGATCATTTGAATAGGTATTATAAAGCATCATGAAATCTTTCACATCAGCAGATGATTTAGATACTCTACCTTTCATTCCCGATTAAATTATGTGGGAAATGTATTGAATGCGTAGAAGCTTATGGCTATTGATATTTTTCAGTTTTGTTTGCAATCCATTGTAAGCTCCAGTATTAACAGAGGCTCCATCAGCTATTGCTGAAACTAGCAGGTAAGTGTCTTTCACTGCTAGAAATGAAACCTTTTCATGACCTTTGATGGAATGCTTCTCTTTAGATTACTTGCATCTGCATCACCAAAGCTATAATAGCTTGAATTAATAAAATATATGGGTATTAGAATTTATCTAATGATAGTCCCAGTGCCTTGACTGATAACACATCAATTTAATAACCACAGCATATATATAGGCCTATCAATTTATAATAAAATAAAAAAAATCAATGAATAGGTAATGCTTTACATAAAACAAGAACATTTAAATTAGTACTTAATTAATAAAGGACACAATATTAGTTCTCTAATAATCTTAATATTAACAAATAACCAAATATAGATATCACAAATAACTTGGAAATTAACTGGTCTGCACTTCTTGCCATGTTGACATACACTCCAAGGCTAACGATATTACTGATATCTTCTCCCAAACACATTCAGCTACGACGTATCTCACCACAAAATGCAAAGCTTTACAAGTTTTTTCTGTAAGCCTTCACTTTATCCTTTTTTTACATGAAGAAGCAGTTCTGTACATCGTTCACTGCCTGTGACAAATATATAATCACTTCATCGATTCTAACGGTATCCACAAGGGTCACCCGAGGTCTAGCCATGTGTATGCCATGTTTAGCACATTGAAAGTAATTCACATGCAGCTGGGTCTTCTTCATGTATGCTACAACACCAACTATTAGGCTTAACATAAATGTGACTCCATTATAACATTGGGCACGTACTTTTGAGGTTTCTAAGCCTAAATGTTGCAGCTTTTCTCTGATCAAGAATGCTATATTTTCTTCACTTCTGATTGGTTAAATGCGACTCCATTATAACATTGGGCGCGTACTTTTGAAGTTTCTAAGCCTAAATGTTGCAGCTTTTCTCTAATCAAGAATGCTATATTTTCTTCACTTCTGATTGGTTAAATGCGACTCCATTATAACATTGGGCAAGTACTTTTAAAGTTTCTAGACCTAAATGTTGCAGCTTTTCTCTAATCAAGAATGCTATATTTTCTTCACTTCTGATTGGTTAAATGCGACTCCATTATAACATTGGGCGCGTACTTTTGAAGTTTCTAAGCCTAAATGTTGCAGCTTTTCTGTAATCAAGAATGCTATATTTTCTTCACTTCTGATTGGTTAAATGCGACTCTATTATAACATTGGGCACGTACTTTTGAAGTTTCTAAGCCTAAATGTTGCAGCTTTTCTCTAATCAAGAATGCTATCTTTTCTTCACTTCTGATTGGTTAAATGTGACTCCATTATAACATTGGGCAAGTACTTTTGAAGTTTCTAAGCCTAAATGTTGCAGCTTTTCTCTAATCAAGAATGTTATATTTTATTCACTTCTGATTGGTTGGCAGCTCTTCTACAACCTTTGTCACTGGCTCTTCAAGAAAAAGGAAAGGATAAGGTAACTGCACTAAAGTCAGTAGACTCTGTCTTAGATGTTCTACGACTTAGGAAAAGCAGTGATACCAAATTCACAACTTTATTCTCTGAAGTTCAAAATATAGCAGATAAACTCGGTTTTGAAGTATCAAAACCATGTACAGTTGGCAGATCACGTTTCATAGCAAATGCTAGAGATGATCTTTATGCCAAGAGCTACTTCGGAATCATTGCCTTCAAACCTGCAGTTAATGGAGTGTTGCAAGACATTAAAAGTTGTTTCATGGAACATCTGCAACTTGCATTCAGTAAGCATGCTCTTCTTCCAAACAACGAAAGAAATACTGAACAGAATTTACTGAAACCAGGTTAGGAGAAGTTTAAATCTGTATTAGATGACTATACAGAAGAAAAAGTAAAAATTTAATGTGTAGTCTGCAACATGTCACTGGCAAGACAGGTGATCCAGACTTCTATTGCTGCTCTGATGATGTATTCCCAAACAGTCAGTGCCTTCTCACAATTCTTTTTGTGCTTCCAGTGTCTACAGCCGAGGTTGAAAGAATTTTCTTCAAAGTGGAATACATACTAACAGCACACTAAGACAGATTTGAAGCTTTGATATCACTAGAAGCTCATGGAGATACATTACCCAACACTAACAACGTAATTCAGCATTTTGCTTTAAGTGGTATATTGTACCATGACTTTAAATTGCCTCTGACTTTCAAGAGAAGGAACTTAAAGTTTCTATAATTTAACTTCTTTCCAAAAGATACTAAAATTGATTAATTTTTATTGGGGATAGCATTAAATGAAAATGATCTTGCATGAGTTCGTATTATAATAATGGTATTCTAATGATGCTATTAGTGTAACACAAACTGATATACCCAATAAAAATAATTCTATTTCTTTATCTTTTAATTTTAAATATATGAGAGAAACAATTACTATCATTCAATCTATCTAAAAATAAAAGGGATTTATATTTATTTTCAATTTAATACCACAAATCTATATTAACGTTATAAAACTCGGGTGGGAATTACTTTTAGTATTGAATAGACTGAGATTAGAACACATCGAGAAAGGTTGAAAAATTAAAATTAGTAAAAAAAATTATAAATATTAAAAGTTTTATACAATATACCTCATTTTAATAAACGTGTTATGATGTATGTTTTTTATATCAAATCAAAATGTGATAAAATCCCCTTTCAGGTTTCTCGATATTTAAATATGTGATGATTACTATGGAAAAGTTTCAGATGACTGCACATGAAATGTCGTTTCCTGAGCATATAATTCCATTTTAATTTGCATATTGGAAGTATTAAAATACATACTTTTATTGATAATTTATAAACCTTTTATTGCTGGCTAATATTCTGAATAAAATTATGTAGTTCTACAGATGAGAAATTCTGAAAATTATTCTCAGTGTTATAACTAGGTAAGTTATTGATATATATATATAGAAAATAATTCAATATTGATTCTTGCAGTATTCCAGTTTGAAAAGCATTTTCTATATATATTTGGAAACACTCCTTGTACTTGCTTTGGTTTTCCCGAAGAAACTGCCCCCCCCCCCACCCGAAAAAAAAAGTTAGCTTGATCTGCCGATGTTTAGTATCTACATACACTTCAACAACATGTGTAATGGAACACCTTGATGAGAAAAGACTTCAGCATTCTCTACTTAATTAATCAATTAGATATTTGGATACCTCTTTATGTTTTCCAATATGCTCAATAAAGACTACCTTCAGATAACAATTCCAACAGTTGACATACAAGCCAAGCTAAGCAAGCAGTGCTTGGTTAGTTAAAATTGTTTTTCAATCCGTTGATATAATAATATTGTATTCCCAAAATTTAAAATAAAAATGCTGACTTTCATAGATTTAAATGTATCACTCATAGAGTAATAAAATTAAATTTTTGGCAATACCCCCACAAAAACTTCCCCTCCATCAGAAACTTTGTAGCAAATATTGAGAAGAAACACGAGTCACTCTACACATTCCAGTGATGCAGTTATATAGGCTGCTTGGTGGATGCCATGTAAATGAGACATCATTAGACCAGGCAACAAGTACGAACCTTACCTGATAAGTCACAAACTAAGCATTTCTCAAGGTCTGATTATTTTAATGTATATTCAATATGGTTTCAGCGAATCAC